CTATTTATTTAACACTAATGAACAAAAATAATAACGATAAAAGACTTATAGAACTATTTACAAACGATTTATAACTAAGAATTTATTTTGAATTTTAGCGCGTCAACTGTATATTTATAACTGCCCTCTCTAGGCCACTGCCGCCGGCTTTTATACCGACAGGTATAAAAGTTGGCTCGCAACAATACGGTAAAATCCTAAAATATATATGTTTTTAATTTCTATGAGTTTCTTAGCCAAGTTATATTTCTGTTGTCAAAAATTCCTAAAAAATATGTTTTACTTTATTTTTGTATCCGTTCTTATTAATTTCATTGAAAATTAATGAAATTGTTTGTTCACAAGTTTGAATATATTGTAAACAGTGTTAAAATAACAAGCTTTTTATAAAATCTCTTCATCATGTATTCTAAACTGAAAAAAAATTGTGGTCCGTCGGACCCAAGCACGCCATAAGCGTTACAAAAATTCACCACGCCAGTTGAGGGTTAAAAGCTCAAACTTTACCAAAATTTTCATCATCCTGAGTCAACGCTATTTTCACTAAAAAAATATATATTTTCTTTGGTGCACCTTAATTAGGATTATATTATATGTTTGACGAACTTTTTTATTTCACTTTGTATTACAGGGCAGGTCATAAGAAGAGAAATTGATATACAAGGAAATGCTAGGTACTATTCGGGAAAGAAAATAGACACCGTGGAATACACCTGTCTATTCTATTTTGACGAGATCTGTATAATCGTTCGCAAATCCAATAAAATTCCTAATTGGTACAAAATTTACAAAGCCTCACAACTGGAAACTAAAGTTGGTTTATGCTCAATATTTCTACTTATCATAACTAGCATAATTAACTTTATTTTACAAAAATTAACAAATAAAGCAACTAGTGAAGCTTTTTGGGAAATATATTGCATATCCATAGGAGCATTTAAAAGAAGTATATTATATAGTAATGGTTTAATATCTAGACGGGTCCTGTTGACCACCTGCTTAATCTTTTCTATTGTATATTCAACGATTCTGACCGCAAGTTTATTTAAGGAACTCACCACTATATCATTTTACCCTGACGTCGACACTCTGGAAGAGTTAGATAGAAGTGGATTGAAAATTAAGTCGTCCATTAACACCTTCCCAAATATAAATACAATATACAGAAGCTTATCTAAAAAAGTCGATTTTTCATGGTTTAATATATCCAGCTTGGATTTGACTAACACCACAAACAAATATGCAGCTGTTGAAAGAAAAAAAGATGCAAAAATCATTATTGAAACCAAATATACCAACAGCGAAGGCGTGCCATTTCTCCATATAGTATCTGAATGCCCATTAAAGCCCTATATGGGATACATAGTTCCTAGAGGTTCGCCATATTTGTTAGCTATAGATGCGGTAATTTGGAAATTGCAGGATGCGGGATTTTTTAACAAATGGTATGACGATTTTGCTCACGCTCTCGTGATTGAATCACGACTTCATCCTGAAACCCATGGCGATAATAACAGGTTAAAGCCGTATACTTTGGAAGATATCCAGAGTGCCTTTTATGTGTTAGGTCTTGGATTGGCTTTGTCTGGAATCAGTTTCATTATAGAAGTTTACAAATATAGAAATAAGAGATTGTTTAGAAGAAGAAATTACTGGGAATATACCGAATAATGAATTAAATTTATGATAATTGCAGTTAATGTTGACTCAAATAATTTATTGAACAAGAGGAAAATTACTAAATGCACCAGAATTTAAAAGCTTTAGAACTTTAAACCAAAATAGATTTTTGTTCAATCCATTTTCTTATCATAACTAGCATAAACAAGAAACAAAAATTAACATACCTTCTAGTTCAGACTTTTGGAAAATATATTACTTACAGAAGCATATACATACAGGAGCATTTAAAAAAAAATCAATTCATATTATATTAGGTATTTATCTAGAATGATCTTGATGCCAACTTCTTTAACAGCAAGTTTCTAACAGGAATGCTATTAGCTTAGCACAATATGATTCTAACCTGACATTTACAAAAATTGGATAAAAGTGGTTTGCAAATTAAGTCATCCATTAACACCTTCCCAAAGAGAAATACAGGATACAAAAGCTTAACCAAAATTTTGGCTTAATGTATCCAGCTTGGATATGACTAACAGCACAAACAAATATGCAGCTGTTGAAAGAAAAAAATAGATGCAAAAATCATTATTGAAACATTTTGAAACCAAATATACCAACAGCGAAGGCGTACCATTTCTCCATATCGTATCTGAATGTCCATTAAAGCCCAATATGGGATACATAGTTCCTAGAGGTTTGTCATATTTGTTAGGTTAGATGCGGTAATTTGGAAATTGCAGGATGCGGGATTTTTTAACAAATGGTATGACGATTTTGCTCACGCTCTCATGATTGAATCACGACTTCAACCTGAAACCCATGGCGCTAATAACAGGTAAAGCCGTTTACTTTGGAAGATATCCAGAGTGCCTTTTATGTGTTAGGTCTTGGATTGGCTTCGTCTGGAATCAGTTTCATTATAGAAGTTTACAGTTTAGAAGAGAATAAATTATTGGGAATATACGGAATAACTAATTAAATTTATGATAATTACAGATAATTTTGACTAAAATAATTTAATATTTAAAAAAAGAGTAAAAATAGAATCTTGTTTTAACGAAGGGGAGCAAAATTACCGAGAAAATTACTGAATACACCAGAATTTAAAAGCTTCAGAACTTTATTTCGCCATGCCTAAAAAACCAACCGCCAAAACATGTGAAAACCACTGACTTACCAGCCTTATGAATTATGTATTAAAGGCATTTTTAAAGATAATTCATAAAAGACCTCTACTAAAAATGCCAAGAGGAGGCTGGTAAAATTAAATTTGGTTTCAAGAACGGCTTAGGCACAAAAGAAGTTCAGTACTGCATGCGACTGTCGGTACAGAAATTTTATGACCAACAAAAAGATGTGTTCATATGTTTCATTGACTACCAGAAAGCCTCTGACAATGAAAGACACGATCGGCTAATACCTATTCTACATGAAACGGGCATCGATGAAGAAAGACATCTAAATAATACACAAGCTATACTGGAATCAAACAGCCAAGCTTCAAGTTCGCGACTCACTATATACAAACAACATATAATTAATTATGTATTGTTCAAAATAACTAATCTAAAGAATTAAAAAATAGGATATTTATTATTCTGTTTTATTAATCTTGACTCTTTGGTGAATGCGCCAAACCACGATAATAATTTTTACACCCATTTTATTAATTTTAAATCATAATCATAAAGAATATAAGTTAACTAGGACAGTTAGCTTGGAAATAACGATCGATGCTATTCTACATATAGTTTTAGATATAAAATGGCATCGATATTCATTTCATAGCCATCGCTGATACCCTTTTTTTCATATGTTTTTATATGACACCACAGTGGCGGATACAGAGGGGGACCCTTGGAGCCTTGGCCCCCCATAAAATCTATAAATTGAGTTAAATATTAGGCTTTTGGGTTAAGAATGGCGCCCTAAAAAGCAAAATCCACATTACTTTTTTACCCCCCCCCCCCTTAAAGAAATTTCTGTATCCGCCCCTGTGTCATCATATTGTATTACTAATTTATATAATTTTAGTGTACCTTAATGAAATCAAAGGGATATCTTAGGACTCTGCTAGAATAAATTTTATCTTTATCCTAAAAGTAAATAAGAAATTTACTTTTTTCTTAAAATTAAAAAGTAATTTCTTAAAATTACTGCCACAAAAATAATATGTTACTTTGTATATAAATCATTACATATATTGTTGACGTTCTGGTGGATGCGCCACAAAAAAATCTTAAAAATTAGTGGCAAAGTGGGAGATTTAAATGTAATTTATGGATATTTTTTAAAGTGGTCTAAATAATATTCTCATAAAATATAAAAAAATATATACCGTATGATCGAAAAAAAAACGGCGTCCAGATGGCTTGGAAATGACTATCGATGACATTCCCTATAATACAATTTTACATATAAAATGACAGCGATTTTCTTTTCATAGCCATTTTTTTCGATCATATTGTATTTTGTAGTGTAATTATGGGAAATATATCATAAATGGAAAAAATAACTTGGCTTTACTTACGAAAATTAAAAAACCTAGATAATACCGTATGACCGAAAAAAAAACGGCATTCCGCATATAATTTTATATATAAAATGACATCATTGAATTCATTTGAAGCCGTTTTTTTGATCATATTGTATTGTATATTTTAACTATTTATAACAATTAAGTATCTACAAATGAGTAAAAAAGAATATCTATATAGTAAATGAAAGAATATCTATATCTTCTTGGTAAAATAATATTTGAAATAACTATAATTATTTATTTCCTGAATTAGTTACTTATCTTTCTTAAGCCACATAAAAATACAACATTGAGAAAATAATCCAAGCTTATTATAATGATCAAAGATCTCTAAAGATAAAACAATTGCAACGACAATACTTGCAAGACTACCTAAGCCTACATTAGTAAATATCTAAATCTAACTGTACCAAAAATATTTATTCATTGTCCTAAAAATAGACCTCCAAAATAAACCGTCTAAGTGCGCACTTCTGCTAAAGAACGTTAATTAATAACATTATCGTCTAATTTATTTTGTACTGAAATAGAACCACTCTCTTCATCGACAGAAGTCATTGACTGGAGCAGTTTCTATTTTTACAATCGTGGACATGCAAATGATAGAAATTTCAATAAAAATGAACAGGAAACGTTAAAATTAGACTGTTTTAAGGTAAAAATCGAGTGTTATAATCGTTTGGTAACAATTATTACGCGGTATAGATGCAAATCAGAAATTAAGCAAGGCCTAAAACGTCAAATGAGACGAAATGAAAGTGGAGAACAAAGAGAACTCGTCGCTCGCACAGATCGATGTCGATTTTACGGACATAACGTGTTTAACATCACTTACTTGAGTTGTTTGCAGTGTTCCAGCACTTTTTTCTTTTCCCAACCTTCCTCGGTTTTCACCCATTCCTCTCCGGGACTTCGCCAATCCTTGGAAATGAACGGCATACTTGAAAAACTGCGTTTCTTAGACAGGCAAAATAGAAAACAGCTGATGACCGAGAGTATAAACATCAACTTCGTCTGGGCTGGGAAGCGTGACGCTTGCGCATGCAGAGTTGCCAGAGTGTGAGAAAATATCAGCTAATCCCATATTAAATTATATTTTTAAAATAAAATAATGAACTTATAATTTTTGAGGAAATACAGATATCCAGACTATTTCAAATAAAACACAAACTTAGTTTTGATCTTGCCTTGATAGATTAATTTTATATCAAAAATCGCTGTTTACATACAGTTAATATACCGGGTGGTGCATCGTGGTGGGAAACAGAGGAAATCACATGCAAATTTTAAACTGCTTAAAAATTAATTGGCTCCCCTATTGATTTTATAGCAAAGTCATAAATAGTTTTTTTAAAGGTCTACGTTTGGTAAACACACATGCCAAATTTGGACAATATTGGTCAAGCCGATTTTGAGTAATTTGAGAAAATCTCCATCTATTCACTACACCAGTCAAAAATCGACATACCTTTAAGTTGTCACCGTCATTTTCAAACGTAACATAATTTTAATATTCTGTATTAGAAATACTTTATGGTTATATACACATAAAGAAAAAGTGAGTATTATAAAATGGTACTATACGCAAGAAATAATTTAGACAAAGAGTCTCACATGTTTCGGTTAATTTCCCCTGAATATTAAAATTTTTATTTAAATTAAATAATTAGTTTTGACAATGACAAAATCAGAGTTTGTAAACCTAAGGTATGTCAGTTTTTGACTGGTGTTTGATTGTTACCTGTTCGGTTTTAATATAAAAATAAATGCAATCTTTCATAAATTACTCAAAATCGGCCGAGCCAAAATTTTTCAAATTTAGCATGTGTATTTACCATACATAAACCTTTAGAAATCTATTTACGACTTTGCTGTAAAATCAATAGGGGAGCCAATATTTTACCAGTCCAAAATTTTCATGGGATTTTCTATGTTTCCAACGACGATGCACCACTCGGTATATTAAAAAAAAAGTTTGAATGAAAATTTCAAATCAGAAACCTGACTATTGATATTTAAAGAAGGCTGGTTTACCCTTATAATATTCAAAGATTTTTTAAATATTAATGTTTTTGTCATTTTCCTGAAGATCTTTAAAAAATAATATTTTCCCGCTAGAATTATATACCTATATATAACAAAATAAATCCAAGAAGACTACTTTGTTTTTTATTTACTGTCCATATATTATAATAATTTTTCCTTATTAAAAAACATATCGGTTTAATAAATTCATACATGCACAGAATCAGTACTCCAAAAATAATATAAGTATAAAATAAGCGTTTACACTTTTAAAAACAAACTACTAGTTGGTTAATAATTAAAATGAAACTATAAAAATATTAATATTATGCAGTAAATTATGCAAATCAAAGATACGTATTTATGTTTAAATTACCGCGGGGGGTCTTTCTTTAATATTTTGTTTCCTTAAATTGGTAACAAAATAATAAACGTGGCAGCTGCGGATTTCTCTTAAAATCGTTGTTCAGTGATTTATAGAAATGATATAGGTAGACGTGTGCTACCTTTTTCTAATATATAGTTTGCAACAGAGAAGAACAATAATAGTGAGATCCGAACGTTTCGTATGGCTAAATTATACAGGGTGGCAGTAGCGGCTCGTGAGTATATAACATATTAGATATATAATTATATAAAAAGATGAGGCTACATGAGGAATTTTGTTTAAATACGAACATATTTTCTCACCTATGAAGTATTATTCTGCGACACGTTATCCTTTTTTTAATGGTATCAAACCTATTAGGTTTAGTACCAAGATATTAGAAAAGTTCTTAAATAACTATTACCGAGGCTATATTACTTACACTTTACCTCTATTCGTTAAATATTGCGGAAATGTTTGACTCCTTAATATTTATTTGTTTTTTTTTCTATAAATAGGATTCATTTTAAAAGACAACACTAAAATTCAACTCCTCTTATTCGGTACTTTAAAATAAATTTTACCGGCGAAGGAAGGTTAGTTCTAACAAATCGCCCCTATTCTAACAGAAATATTATATACGGGTGCGTGTCTCAAAAGTGGCTCACCCCTATAACTTTTTTATTTTTACAGTTAAAAAAACGAGATTTGGTATGTTAGTATATGACATAACCCACCAAGTAAAAAACCTCACATTACATTTGCAACATTGCAGTCAATCCCCAAACAGTTTGCTTTGTAATGTTGATTTCTAAACGTTATGTCGTGATTGATGAAACCTTGCTACAGAAACATTGTTTTTGAATGGTGATTAAAACGTTTTTTCTGCAACATTGCAACAAAGATTCAAATGAAAGATCTGTGCAAGTTAATATTAATTAATAAAATAACAAATATACCATAGGATCGAAAAAAACGGTGTCTAGTTGGCTTGGAAATGAATATCGATGACATTGCCCATATAAAATGACAGCGATTTTCTTTTCATAGCCATCGCTGACGTCTTTTTTTTCGATCATACGGTAATGGTATAAGCACAAAATAGAAATCAACCAGAAGGTTGACTCCCAAAATGCGCGCGAAACGGTGGCTAACCTAAAAATTCCTTTATGAGCGGGTAACACCTGTCAATGTAGCGGCGTTATCGGTTTAGTCAGGGCAGGTCAGGGTTTAGTTGAATTCTGACTATCGCATAATAGGAATATATCACATAAATAGGAATTTTAAAAGCGGAACAAATAAAAATAAATTATTCATATGGAGAAATACTGTATTAACCCATCTTAACACAATACTTATTACCTACCTACCTAATCATAATTTTATTATTATAATGAGCCCCATTTATCTGGGTAACATTGTGTTCAAGCGAAATTTTACCAGCATTAAAAAAAATTATTTTGATAATGTGTATTAATAATACTTAGCCATGAATAAGTATAACAAATTTTGTTTAGTTTAGTTTGTTTTTAAGCTAAATTTTATGTTTTAGGTTAGCTTTTAGCCAACTGAAAATTGAAGAAGATAAAATCAGGATACGAGTATATCAATCTAATGATAAAATAACAAATAATATTCAGTATTAATTATTCTCAATAATATTTTGTTACGGTTATATATTTTAAAGGGGAATTAATTTTCTTATATTTATTTTAATTGATATATCTTGACAAAATGGTGAATGTGGTGGTTTATTATTTTGTTTATAACCTTGAAGATGGCACGTTAATAAAATATAACAATACATTTCTTAATACATATTAATTATTTATTTATTTTCTATTTACAAGTAAAGTAAATGTGCATTAACTTTAAATCATAATTTAACTTCATATTGTTGTATTTTTAGCCAAATGTAATATTTTGTAAATAATATCTTTGACTCGATCTTGAGGTATTATTCTTCAGGTTATGGAAGGGTAAATGCATCGTGTAAAGACTTCTTATTTATCTAAAATAATTTTTTTTAAAGTTAATTAAAGTAATATTAATAATAACCACTTTATATACTTACTTTTGGTATTTGTTTACTTCTGTTCAAGTGGAAATATTCATTGCATTTTGTTAGTTGTTTGGTTGCTACAAAGGGAAACCATATTATATTAATTATATTATACGAAACGATGTACATACCTTTTTAATAACAATAATACCTTCAATAATTATTATTAATAAATAATCTGATTGTGATTTTTGTTTAGGGTACGAACATAGTGGAGGCAGGTTTCTGCTTTCCGGCAACCAGCGCCGTTTCTGGGGACCTATTCTTGATCACTCGCATCTTCAAATATCGCTCACATCTCGCATCTCTGAAAAAGCCATATAACAGTACACGTGATGCGTAACTTTGCATATATGCCGTGTATTGTTATATGGCTTTTCGGAGATGCGAGCAGGGTTCGGAAGTAGTTAATTAAGAGGAAATTTACCTGATTAACTAACCTAACCTAACCATATCCAAATGCCGTTCCCGCCGCGCCGACGCCGCACATAGGGGTATTTGGTCTATAAACCTGGCCAAAAGTGAAATATTTTTATTTTCATTTTTTATCTTAACTGAATACAAATCTATAAATACTAAATGTAAGCGCGTTGTATGTATTAGCTTTTTTTAAGTCGTAAGTTGACTATCAAATAAATAATATATTTCAATTATAAGTATGAATTATCTTGAGTGTATTCTGAATATTTCTAAGATTATAAAATAGTGGAATTGTTTGTAGTGCTTTTTTTGCAAATTGTTTATAATAACTGTCATCATGGATACAGAGCCAGCTAGCAAGTCCTGTTTTATGCCATATTTTTATTTTGAAACGTTTCCTTCTATTCTATTTCTTTATAATGTTTTATATTTAAAAAATCAGATGCATTTTTATAAGATGTAAGACTATTCGGCAATATTCCGCATGGAAATTAGTATCCGTTCAATGCTTAAAGTCTCCAGCTTTGGAATATGTACAAAAATCTTGCCAATATTTGCCACTGCCAAAAAAACATTGATTTAAATAGATTCTTAAAGGAAATAGTCTTTACCCTATAATACCCATCCTCGCTCAAATATCGTCTATAATATACAAATTACTTTCTTGTTTTAGCAATCTCATCCAATTGCTTGGTTTTGCACAGAATAGCCCTATTTGATCGGTGGAAAGGGTTTCAGAGTAGAGGAAAAAATATTATGTAGGAAAAACAAAATGGGGTTCCATATTAGCAACCTCTCCTCTAATTAATAATTAATATTACTAACAAAAAAGCAAAAAAATCATAAAACATAATTTTGGTCAACTTTTAGTTCTTGCCCTCTGTGCGCCGTCGGCGCGTGTAAAAGCAGAAATAAATAAATTTTCGTTCCGGTAAAAGCGAGAATGCCGATGAACGCTGGTTGACGGTGCCTGCCTGCTTTCACTGTGAACTAGCCGATTTGATAACACGCTTTAATTTTTCAAGGTTATAAGCGCGAGGCGGCGCGGCGCGGCGCTACGATGTACCCATATACAGGGTGTCCCAGAAATAAGTGCAAGTATTTTAGTATAGTTCAACCCCAGAAACACGCCAATGAGGTTTTTTTCTAAATATTTTTTTTTTTG